GATCTCGAGATATTCCATGTTGTAACCAATTAAGTCAGAACCCTCGTAGTATGGACACCATTTACGCGGTTTCCATTTACATTTTCTCTATTATCCGCATATTTTGGGGGTTAACTGTAATAAATATTTAGCTTGTTTAGTTAAAAGCAAGTTTTTTGAGGAATACTCGTTGATTTCAGATCGATTGGCAGCTCGGCTGCAAAATGGAAATGGAGAACTCACACTGTTGTACAAAGTACAACGCGTGAGTACTCGTGTTACAAAAGTTGGCGCGAGTAACGGAGGAAATATAATATAACATAAGGAAACAACTGATCATACCATAAAAAAAATCATTCAGAAGTAAATCTTAATACGGAGACCAGACTCTATGCTTGCAGTCCATATCATTTTTTGTATGGGCTGTTCATAAACTACGTAGACGGTTTTTGAGAGATTTCAACCCCCCCCCCTTACGTAGAAGACAGTTTCAAACACAAAATTTAAAAAATTGTATGAAAACTTTTGTGGAAAACTAGGAACTAGGAAAACTAGGAAAACTCAGAGTGGACCACTCTACGTGTTTTGCCGTTTTTCCCATTTTTAATCGCCTGATAAACAAGAAATATATTTAAAAACAATGAATTCATATAATTTTGATTGATTTACTTACCAATTTAATCAGAAATCTGAGATAATAGCACGATCGACCAACCGGAATTTTTTTTGTCGCTCTTTTGATGATTCTCATTTGATAAGTGTCCAAAATAAGTTGGTCACATTTTTTTACGATCTTTTTTGGACACTTTTTATTTAATACTTTTTAAGTAAAATCTTAAGGTGAAATCTTTATAAACACGTGAAATACATCTTTCAAAGTCAGATAAACTGATTTGATAAAAAAAATCATTGAATTGCATATTTTAGACCAAATTTAAAACAAGTACACTAACGCCGATTCCTCTTGACAAACGTCGAAACATGAAACTTTTTCGATAACATTTTCTAAAACTGCATAAATTGAGCAATTGTAAGCAATTTGAGGTGAACTAATGATCTTGAGACATAGCAAGTAATTGAAAGAATGTAATTACAACATCAACCCAGATGAATTTGAAGAAACTAGACAGTAAGCGAGGAAAATATATGCAAAGGGTCCAACATATGTAGGGGTCCAATTCAAGTTGGTTACTCTACCGTATGCGTGATAATTTTTGCACCATTTGCAATGTCAAAATTAAAAAAATTCTCAAAAATTTCGTTTTCGAGTTTTTTTTTATTTATTTATTCAAAGGGAGGATGTTTATCAGAGTCTTAAACTATGTTAATCATCGATCGAGTTTCCAGTTGCTGCAATTACGGCCTCCAAACGCTTCCGGAATGCACGGCAGGTTCTAATTATGTAGTTTGGATCCATTTTACTCCAGGTATGGGTCAATGTTAGTCTGAGACTTGCTGTACACGGGTGGCGTTTAGGACAGGCCTTGGCCTTCATGACGCGCCATATTGAGTAATCCAGCGGATTAAGATCGGGGCTGGATGGCGGCCACATATCCTTCGCCCAGAACGGAAGATGTTCCTGCAAGCACTTCTGAGTGCGGTTCGAGGTGTGGCATGGAGCCCCATCTTGTTGAAATACAACATTTGGCTTCAGACCGTACTGTTTTTTTTATTATTATTATTATAGTCACTTTAACGCTCTTGGGTTATTCGTGACTTGTCCAGGGGTGAGATTTGAACTCGAGACTTTGGCGCGATAAGTATGGCTGTTAACAACATTTGGCTTCGGACCGTACTGTTCTTTGATCCACGGAAGAACATAATTACTTAAAATCCCGATGTAGATCTCCGTGTTGACCTTGGAATGAACACCGGGTCCATTTTTTTGCCATCGGAAGCCACCAATCCAAACACCATGACGGTAGCAGGATGCTTGGTCAGATAAACGTTCTTGTGCTCGTCAGCCACGTCTTTTACCGGAAGAGAACTAATATACCGGTCGGTTCTGGAATTTGATACGGGATCGACCGTAAACATGCTCTCGCCGGTGAACAGGATTGCCGGATTTTTTCGCTTAAGGAACTTCATGATTTTCTTGCATCGTTCGACTCGTACCTCCCGGATGCGGTTGGTAATCATGTGAGTTTTTTTCCGTGCCCTCGACTTCGCCCCGCAATCTTCCTTTACGATCTTCCGTGCCGTAAAGTCACTGATCCCGTGTTCCTTTGTCATTTTCCTTATTGAACGCACTGGATTCACCCGAATCATCCTTTTGATATCAGCGATAACCCTCGGAACCTGAGCTGACCTCGGACGACCTGTGGCCACCTTCACGGATAGTTGTCCTTTCTTTTCTTGGTCTAAAACCCCTTTTGACGGTTCACCGGGGCACTCCCACGGTGATTGATATGTCTTTTTTGCGACATTTGCGCGTGGGACAAATCACGAATACGCTGCCACTTCGTCATGGTGCAACTGTCAAACTAAGTAAATCATTTTCTTTTATACACTGCCTACTGCGGTATGAGCTATAGGTTACGTGCATGCAAATAAAACCAAGGCATTGTATGCACAGGTGAAATAAAAATCTAGGATTTATTCGTTGTCGAAAAATGTTTCCTAACATTTCAGTTTAACTACCACTGAAGAACAAAATGATAACAACTTATGCCTGACTACCAAAGTAACGGATGAACGTGATTACTCCGTTGAAAGAAAACGTGAAAAATATAACCATTTTTAATTAAGGGGGCGTATTACACCTGTTTACCCTACTTGGCTTTTCGAACCCTTCCCATCGATGAACGGCAAAAGTGAGCCACGAAGCTCTAGTATCAAATGAGAACACAAAAGAGCATCATGATGACTAGACACAGCGCTCTGGTGAGGTGAATCTACGGTAGGCGAAAAGTGAGGGAGAAATTGAGGAAGAAGTGGTGGCGAGAAAAAAAAGTTGTGAACATTTACTGAAACACAAATAGCCGAACCGAGCAAGCCGCAGGATGGGCTGAAAAAGTGCTCCCCTGCCGGGTGCAGAGAGATAGGTCGATTCAGGCACACGAGCAGCATAATATTGGTCGAAAAAAGTTGTGGGGAGTAGATTTTGCGGAGACTGGCTCATACATTCATTGGAAAGGATAATAAATTTAGTGGAAAATTTCGCCAGCTTTGTTCTGCTTTTTCACACAGTTTCACGTGCCAGGAGAGGAGGGCGTCGGATATGACAGGGTTGTATGAGGTTTGCGAAGGGATTTAATTTCCTACACTATAACTACTCGTTTCTTGGACCATCTTATTGAAAAATAAATGCACCACCAACATCACGTATTAGATGCTGGTGATGGTTTAAAATGATGTACATGTCATTTGAAAAAAAAAATGTGCATGTTTTAGAGGCCATGTTCCATATCTATTGAAAAAAATATAAGTCACAGAAAGTCAGTTTTTGACCAAAAAAAGTTTCCGAGACTTCATGCATTTTTATGTCATTTGGCAACAAAAGATAAAAACTATTTCCGAAATTTCATGTATCTCTTGGTGATTTTTCGATTTTCAAAAACTCAAACTTTGTCGAATTTGCTCCACCTTAAATCACGTCCAATTGAGTCCAAATTTGTCACAGCGTCTTTTTTCGATTCTGCATTTGCGTTCTAAAATTTCGAGTGTCACTTTTTCCCCATACATTAGTTGGCACCCTAATGGTTACGATGTGGAACATTTCATGATCCTGGGTGGATATTGCCATTTTCGGAATTCCATGAACTTATGACTTTCAACAAATTTCCAACAGTGCCAAGTACTCAAGCAACAATACTTAGACTCTTAGAGGTACGATTTACATAAAGTTTAAATCTGTTTAAAAAAACACAAACTTTGCCGATTTGCGCCAAATCACACTTTTTTCCCTCTAAAGTTCACGATCTGAGACATTTCATGATTATGGGTGGACATTGATATGTTCATAATTCGATGACATTCACAGACAATGACAAACTGCTACAGTGACATGTACTAAAGCAACACTACTTGGACTGTATTATTGTGTTATTGTTTGTGGGTTTTTAGGTTGAAAATTCAATAGTTTTTCTATTAACCACCAAGCCCGTTAATAGCCCTCTAATCGCTCTATTTGCAATACACTCAATTCTTTTTTTTTACACGGGGGATATGTACCGTGTAAAAAAACTTTTTCAAATACTAAAACATTTTTATTTTTCTTTATGTTGATGCCATTTGTATTTATAGCATGCTATGCTCCATGTAGACATATTTAAAAAATGTATGTATTTACACCAAAAAATGTGATTTTTTAAAGTATACCTGTAAGCGAACATCCATTCGCTTGAAGGAGACTGACTGACATCGTACAATTTTTTCACCTTTTATTTGGATCGGTTGCTATGTTCGATTTTGGTTGCACTGGCAATAAACACAATGTGTAACGAAATCATGGCAACATTGGATGGAAAACGGAACAGGAGAGGAGAAAGCGCACGGTGATTGCGCCGCCATCGTATTTTATTCATTCGGAGTAGAGCTTTCGTGAAGCGACGAAGCAAACTCATACAAATGTAGTTAAATACAATAAATAGTTTGAAAAGTGTACAATAAGACAAAAGGTGATGTTTTTAATACATGAAGAATACAGTCCATTGAATTTAATCCCCAACGAGGCCAGGAGAGCCTGAACATTGGTCCATCGGACCCGGATAAAATATGTAGTGGAAAAAACAAAATGGTGCCCAAGGAGCGCTGAATATTCGTCGGATAATACAGTGAACGGTGTGTGCGAACGATTAAAACAATAAAACTTAATAAAAATCAGAAGGAAGCGTTTTGCATCATCGACGAGTCGATGGGTGCAAACTAAAAACAGTGGAATTCTGAGTGTGAAGTGAAAAGGAAAGTGAATTGCATGCTGCCATTTTGTTTGTTGGTTCCAAGGTCGTGAACATTTCCGGAAGTAGTCCCGCTGCTTCCATCCAGGCAGATAGTAGTCCCGCTACTGATCTGTCGATTCCATGTGGCGCATTTTACTAGCTCATCCGGACACTGATCACGAAGAAGAAACCGAAGAGGAAGAAATAAAAGAAGAAGAAATCAAAGAAGAAAAGAAAACCTCCATGACCACACCGAAGAAAACAAAGGAGGAAAAGATGGCGGAATTGAAGTCGTTGATTTCTAAACGCGGAGCAGTGAAGAGCAAGTTGTCGAGGACCCATGCCGCGGTCCAGGCAGCGCAAGCAGAGCCTCTAGCTATGTCCATGCCCCAAGTTCGTGTCCACTCAAGGAATGTGGATAAATATTATGGTGAGTACAATGAAGTACATGACATAATAATGCAAAGTATTGCGGAAAACCAGAGGGAAAACCACGAAGACAAACTCATCGAGTTCGAGGAGCTCAATAACGAGGTGCAAGTTTTCATTGAGACGCTAATGGAAGCTCACGCTCAGAACGCTAATCGGAATCGAGCCGTTCTTCCCGCTGGAGTGCAGCAAAACGGTCAACCGCAAGTTGTCATCCACCAGCAAGCTCTTCGTGCCCCATTGCCAACATTCGATGGGCGGTACGAAAATTGGCCAAAATTCAAGTCGATGTTCCAGGACTTGATGAGGAATTCTCCAGATTCGGATGCAGTAAAACTTTTTCATCTGGACAAGTCGCTGGTAGGAAGTGCAGCAGGAATCCTTGACGCTAAAACGATCCAAGACAATAATTATCAACAAGCCTGGCAGATATTGGAACAACGCTATGAAAATAAGAGGTTGATTATCGACGTTCACGTACAAGGTATCATGCAGCTGAAGAAGATGGCAAAAAAGTCCTCTAAGGAGCTGCGTAGCCTTATCGATGAATGCTCAAGACATGTGGAAAACCTGAAGTTCCACGAACAGCACCTGTTAGGAGTTTCGGAGATTATCATCGTCCATATTCTATCAGGTGCCCTCGATCAAGAAACAAGGGAGTTATGGGAAGGTACGATCGACCATGGAGACCTCCCGAAGTATGCGGAAACTATGGAATTCCTTAGAAAGCGGTGTCTCGTACTGGAGCGGTGCGAGTCGACCGCACCATCGGTGCCTTTTATCAAGCAAGCAGCTACTAAGGCACCACCAAGCAAAGCATCAAAAATATCTGCTGCAGCTACAGTATCTAGCGAGATCGTCTGTGAGCTGTGCGGTGGAGACCATCCGAATTTCAAATGCAGCACATTTCGCAGCATGAGCGTTGCGCAACGATTGGTTAAAGTGAAGAAAGCCAGGGTTTGTTTCAACTGTCTGCGTAAGGGCCATATGGGCAGGTCATGTTCATCCCAGAGAACGTGTTCAAAGTGTAACCGGAAGCACCACAGCATGCTTCACCAGGATCAGCCAGAAGCCCAAGGACAATCCAGAGGAGCTACCTGCAGTAAAAACGGATGTTGCTGGCAGGATCGATCCAGATCCACACGAAGGTAGAAGTAGTGTTTCGGTAACAACGTCATGTCTCGGTGGCGGGTTGTCACAATCGGCCAAACAGGTAATGCTTCAGACAGCAGTTATCGATGTGGAGGATGTACACGGTCGTCTTCATCCTTGCCGTGCGCTGTTGGACTCGGGTTCACAGGCGCATATCTTGTCGGAATCGATGGCACAACTTCTCGCTTTACCGACCCTGAAATGCAACATTACAGTCGTAGGAGCAAACGCAGTGAAGACTCAAGCAAAGAAAGGATTGAACCTGAATTTCTCGTCGAGATACTGCTCGCTTCAAGGCAATATCACATGCTTGATTTCGGAAAGACCGACTGGGAATGTACCGTCGGTAACAATTGATGTATCTTTGTGGAACCTACCACAAGGGTTGCAGCTAGCGGATCCAGAGTTTTTAAAGCCACACGAAATCGATTTGGTGCTTGCTTCTAATTACGTCTGGGATTTGCTTCGAACCAAGAAGGTGGTCCTGTCCAATGGTACAACGTCTCTACGAGAAACAGATCTAGGCTGGATCGTCACTGGCACATACGATCCGTACCAACAGGTGAGTGGCTCTATTTTGATCGCAAATGTTGCATTGCAAGATCCACTAGCTGAGAAATTGGAAAAATTTTGGTCCGTTGAGGAGGTGACTGAGTCTTCACCTTTCAACACTGAAGAGCAGGAAGTTGAGCAGCATTTCCTGGAAAACTATCGCCGGGACGAATCTGGTCGCTTCGTGGTCCAGATGCCGCTTCGGGAAACTGTCGCAGAACTTGATGATAACAGAAATCTAGCGCTGAAGCGTTTCTACGCACTCGAGCGGAAATTATCCCGGAATCCAGAACTAAGAAGTCAGTATTGTGAATTCATGCGAGAATACGAATCACTTGGGCACTGTAATGAGATCAGAGAAGAAGACGACGTATCTGGACTACCACGATACTACGTACCGCACCATGCGGTGTTTAAGCTGGCGAGTTCTTCAACCAAACTAAGGGTGGTATTCGACGCTAGCGCAAAATCTTCGAAGTACTCCCTGAACGATGTGATGAAAACTGGACCAACCGTCCAGAACGATATATTTTCCGTGGATCTTCGTTTCCGGCGCCATACGTTTGGATTTTCCGGCGACGTAACCAAAATGTACCGGCAGGTCGGTCTCGATAGAATTCACACCCGATTCTTGAGGATTTTCTGGAGGGAGGACCCTTCAAAGCCGCTGAGAGTTTTGGAACTGATTACAGTGACATACGGAACGGCTGCAGCACCATTTCTTGCAACCAGAAGCTTGGTGCAGTTAGCAGTTGAAGAACAACATCGATACCCAGTTGCGTCGAAGATGGTGAAAGAAGATGTGTACGTGGATGATATGCTATCTGGAGCAAACACAGAAGAAGAAGCTGCTCAACGCTTGTTGGAAGTGAAACAGTTGTTGTCTGCTGGAGGATTTCCAATTCGCAAGTGGAGTTCGAATTCAACTGTAGTGCTTGAAAGTGTGCCTGAAGAAGAACGAGAAAAATTAGTGAAGATTGGTGAAAATGGTATGAAGGAAGGAATCAAGGCACTGGGAATACTTTGGGATACGAAGAATGATCAGTTCACGTACGAAAATTGGCCAGAAGAGGCCACCAACCGATCGCTTACGAAGCGACACGTCCTTGCTGAAATTTCGAAGTTGTATGATCCGTTGGGACTTGTCTCACCGGTTATAGTTTGTGCCAAGATCATAATGCAAAAACTCTGGTCGTCCAAGATGAACTGGGATGATGAACTGGAGGAAGACATTCTGGTAGAGTGGGTCAATTTTCGAAATTCGCTGACAACGCTGAATCTGATTCAAGTGCCACGATGCGTTATGATGTCTGGTGCCATTCGGTACGAGATTCACGGGTTCGCGGATGCTTCGATAGTAGCGTATGGAGCCTGCATATATATGCGAAGTGTGTTGGCTGACGGAAGTGCGGAGCTGCGCCTTATGTGTGCTAAGTCAAGAGTGGCACCGTTGAAGGCGATTACAATCCCAAGACTGGAGCTGCTTGCTGCTTTGCTTTTAGCTCGGCTCATGGTAAAGGTGATTGAAGTGATGGAAATCGATTACTCGGAGGTCACGTTGTGGTCTGATAGTCAGATTACATTGGCCTGGTTGAAGAAATCACTCGGAACTATGGAAACTTTCGTCCGAAACCGCGTGGCAGAGATCAACAGGCTCACCAATCGTTACAAGTGGAAGTACGTGAACACAAAACACAATCCTGCTGACGTGGTGTCCCGAGGTCAGGCTCCAGCCATGTTATGTAAAAACAACCTCTGGTGGAGTGGACCTGAGTTCCTGAAGGAAGAGGAATACTGTAGTCCTCAACCAGCGCCGATTCGGGAATTAGAGATTCCAGAGCTGAAGGTGACAGCCATTGTTGCGGAAAAAATCGAGGCTCTGTCAGTCTTTGCAAGGTTTAGCAGTTTCCGTAAGCTTCAAACGGGTAATTGCGTATGTCCTGCGCTTTGTTCGAAATTGCAGAAGCAAATCGATGAAGCGCCCAGGAAGCTCATCAAAATTTGTGACAGTTCCTGAAATGCGAAGCTCACTTAAGTGCATTGTGAAGGTAATCCAGATGCTGGAATTACCTGATGAAATCCACAGCGTACAAAAGGGTTACATTCCACAGCGACTCGCAGCCCTTAGCCCACTCCTCGACGATGATCATCTGTTGAGGGTTGGAGGTCGTTTGCAGGAATCAGAGCTTCCATACGAGACCAAACATCCGCTTGTTTTGCCAAATCATCCAGTAGCCGAAATGATCGTCAAAGCTCTTCACATCGAAAATTTGCACGTGGGACCTTCTGGACTATTGGCGATTGTTCGACGGAATTTCTGGCCTTTGAAAGGTCGATCCACAATCAGGAAGGTTACGCGAGGATGTGTCCACTGTTTTCGCACCCAGCCTCGAGGAGTTCAACAGCTCATGGGTAGTCTACCTGAGGAACGTGTAAATGTTGCCGCTCCTTTCGAATTTACCGGTGTGGATTACGCTGGTCCTGTTACAGTAAAACAAGGGAAATATCGACCAAAATTAGTGAAAGGATATATCGCAGTGTTTGTGTGCATGGCAACAAAGAATCTGCATTTGGAACTAGTATCGGATCTTACCTCCGAAGCGTTCATCGCAGCATTGGAGCGCTTCATCAACCGTCGTGGCCATGTTCGTAAAATGTTTTCGGACAATGGAACCAATTTTGTGGGGGCTTCAAACGAACTTCATCAGCTGTATGTGGATTTTCAAAGTGAAGTCCATCACCAAAGGATCAACGATGTCTTGCTGGCTAGAGAAATAGAATGGCATTTCATCCCTCCCAGAGCACCAAACTTTGGTGGCTTGTGGGAAGCCGGGGTGAAGAGTGTCAAAACGCACCTTAAAAGAACTCTTCAGAACGCAACACTTACGTTCGAAGAGTATAGTACCATACTCACACATGTGGAAGCGATTTTAAATTCGAGACCGCTATTCAACGTTTCCAACAGTCCTGATGAACCTCTTCCGATTACACCTGCACATCTGCAAATTGGAAGGCCACTTCTCTGCATTTCCAAACCTTCGTGTGATCGGATCCCGGACAATCGACTATCACGGTGGCAATATCTTGACAAGCTTCGTGAGCACTTCTGGAAACGTTGGTCTCGGGAATACCTGACAACGTTGCAGACACGATGCAAGTGGACTACAACAACCGCAAGTATCCAACCCGGATCAGTGGTGCTGATGATCGAGGACAACCTTCCACCTCAAGTGTGGAAACTTGGCGTAGTTACTGCTACTCACCCCGGAAAGGATTCCTTGGTGCGTGTGGTCGACGTGAAGACATCCAACGGAACTTTTAGGCGGTCCATTAGCAAGTTGGCTCCCTTGCCGATAGATGAAAATGAGAATCTTCGAACTTCAGCTTCGCAGCCGCGGGGCAGAATGTAAGCGAACATCCATTCGCTTGAAGGAGACTGACTGACATCGTACAATTTTTTCACCTTTTATTTGGATCGGTTGCTATGTTCGATTTTGGTTGCACTGGCAATAAACACAATGTGTAACGAAATCATGGCAACATTGGATGGAAAACGGAACAGGAGAGGAGAAAGCGCACGGTGATTGCGCCGCCATCGTATTTTATTCATTCGGAGTAGAGCTTTCGTGAAGCGACGAAGCAAATTCATACAAATGTAGTTAAATACAATAAATAGTTTGAAAAGTGTACAATAAGACAAAAGGTGATGTTTTTAATACATGAAGAATACAGTCCATTGAATTTAATCCCCAACGAGGCCAGGAGAGCCTGAACAATACCTATGCCTTGAAACGGATAATGTGATACAAATCAAGTCAATAGGTTGTATCGTTATTCATCCATTCCATAGCAAAGCGATACAGTGGTTCTCACAATTTCGGAACAATTGGTAGTTTTGTTCTTTATCGCAAAATATTAGACCCGTCAGAGTTGCTTAGAAATGCTATCTAACTTGAAGGAATCTAGTGTGATAATTAGCTAAAGGATAGTCTGTAGAGGGTAGCTAGATAGTTCCGCTAGAGTACAGCAGTATGAAAATTTAATAGAAGTTGAAAATGAGCGAAGGACCATTAATGCGACAGTGCTAGTCAAACGCACACTTCAAATCTCCTCGTACATTGCAGACCACTCAACCTTTGTGGCATCCATGATTACAGTACAAGATGGAGCCGGTTTTAGTTTGAGCGATTGCCGATGGAGAAACATGATTGCATGATTTGGAGGCATTGATTTTAATTTTCCAGATGTTTGCATAGTCAACAAAGACGTTGAAGTTTGTTCGTTATTTCACGAGGCAACCTTCCTTTGACGGCTATTGTGGTATCATCTGCGAACAGGAAAAACACACAACTGTCTCCGATGGGGAGGAATGACGGAAGTGTAGATCCTGTAAAGCAAAGGGTCCAACAGACTTCCTTGCGGAACACCTGCTGGGATGGAAAACGTGTCTGAAAGACAACCATTCAACTATACCTTAAACCACCTTTGCTGGAGGTAGTTACGGGTGATTGTAACCAGATATAATGGGAATTTGAAGTTACAAAGCTTGCGCACATGTCCGTCATGCCAGAGTAGTAGTAGTAAAATTCTTCTTTATTTTGATTTGTTAAGTGGTTTACAATTGCTAATACAGGGCAAGAGGTTATCCAAAAGGGCTCTTCATCTTTGGTGAACTTTTTGATTGTGTGTTATACATGTTGTTTTTTACTGTGTAATGTTTTTCAATTTTCTTCTTGTGAAGCATGTTGTTTGAATGTTTTAAATTCGTTATTCTACCTACTTAATCTAACTTATCCTAACGTGCCAGATCCCTGACGATCTGTTGATCGGATCACCTACAGCAATCTCTGAACCTTGCGATGGAGTCAGCTCTCCGTAACTCCAGTGTCTGAAGACCAGCCAGGCGGTGGACCTCAGAATTTCTAGTCCGCGTGGAACTGTTAAGGATCATCCTAAGGATCTTGTTTTGGATCCTTTGGAGTTTGAGGTGATGGCATTTGGCGCAACTCTCCCAGATTGACATCCCGTATTCTATTACGGGAAGGATGATTTGTATGTAGACAGAAAGCTTATTTTCAGGGACAGGGTAGACCTCCTGTTGATGAGTGGATACAACGATTTTATCAAGATGTTGCACTTGGTTTTGGTTTTGTCAACGTGCTCCCTGAAAAGAAGCTTGCTGTCTAGTGTTTGCCCGGCACGACCTCTTTGGACCATTCCACCACTTAGTCGTTCATGCAAATCTTAATATTTTCAGACGGAACAAGTCTGGGAGATTTTGAGTGTGGAAAGATGATGACCTGGGTCTTTGCCGCGTTGATGCGGATCTTCCAGTTGTTGAAATATTCAGACAGGACGTCCAGGCCTCTCTGAAGTTTGGCAGTCAGAGCTCCGATGACCCTACCCTTGTAGACGATGGATGTGTCATCTGCGAACAGAGACAACGATCCACTATCAGGGAGAGCCGGCATATTGGAGGTGAACAGGTTGAATAGAATGGGGCCAAGGATGCTTCCTTGTGGAACCCCGGCACCGATGTTGAAATCATCCGATGTGATGCTATTCAGAGAGACTCGGAACGTCCTATCTGATAGATAGTTGTTTATTATCTTCACTAGGAAGATTAGAAGACCGTACTGCTGCAATTTGAACACCAGGCCATCATGCCAGACATTGTCGAACGCTTTTTCAACGTCCAACAACGCCATGGCAGACTTGTTCCGTCTGAGAATGTTTGTCACCCGAGTCAGCTGGAGGACGGTCGAACGACCTTTCCGAAAACCAAACTGTTCCTCGAGTAAGATGTTGTTTTGTTCGGCAGATGTTAGGAGCCGGTGGTAGACTGCTCTTCGAACAGTTTTGATAACCCTGAGAGAAGGCTGATTGGTCGATAACTTGAAGGAGAGGACGGATCTTTTCCAGGTTTCCGGATGGGTATGACTTTAGTTGACTTCCAACACGAGGGAAAGTAGCCAATTTTGAGGTAGTGAGATGGTTGTAAAACCTGGAACTCAAGTGTTTGAGTTCCAGATTCAGGATGTTGTCAAAACCTGGGGCCTTCATGTTTTTAGATGATTTGATATAGGCCAACAGTTCGTCAGCCGTAGTCTCGGATACCTCTGGGAAAAATGTTAGGAATCTGATGAAGATTGGTTGCATTTTCAGCAACCTCAGATTCATGAGGGCTGACGATGTTTTGTTCGAGATTATGGGAGCTGACGAAGTGTTGACCTATCGCGACAGCCTTCTCTTCAGGAGTTATCAGATGAACCACTGGGTCGCCGGGACGATCCAGTGGGGTCAGTGGTGGAATGGGTCTTGGTTTATTTTTAAGGATTTTCGTTTGTTTCCAGAAGGGCTTTGCACAATCTGGGAGAGAGCGGATCTTGTTAGTAAAATCTTGATTTCTGAGGTCCACTATCCTGGCTTGGATGGTTTTTGTAAGACGATTGCAATGGGTCTTCAAGACACGTATACCAGAACGCTGGTATTGCCTTCGGATGGAGCTACGGAGTCTGATGAGATCTTTGGTAATTCTATCAAGGTTCAGAGTATTGCTCACCTGTCTGGATACTGGCACGTGATGTTCCCTGGCCCGGGATATCGCCTCCTCGATAGAACGCAGACACCGGTCAACGTCTTCGGGCATCTCCGGAAGGACACCGTAGTCGACAGTGGAGTCAACACAGTGTTGGAACTGCTCCCAGCTGACACGATGGTAGTTGCGTCGGGAAGCTTGGATTCGGTTGACGGATGAGCCTACTTCGGCCACCACAGGATAGTGGTCCGAACTCAGCTCTTGATGGGTCACAGGTAGCGAGATGTTGTCTCCCATGTTGCTGATGAAGATGTCCATCGTGGAGTGAACACTAGACCGGCTCAACCGGGTGGGACAGTCCGGCGCTAATATGGTGTAGCGAGCCTCTTGCAGGTCATCGTTCAGGATGGTGCCATTTTGGTTGCGTCGACTGTTGCCCCAAGCCTGCTGTTTGGCGTTCAGGTCGCCAGCGATGATGT